ATCAAGTGGAATTAATCTTTATTTTGAGCAACATTAACGAATCTACACCCCTGTCGAGCTGAGGCTGAGTCGATATCGACTTAACACCAAATTCCGGGTTAAAAATAAAAATATTGTATCAATTTTTGCCGGTAGAATTAAGAGCTATTTATGAGCTTTTGAACTGATATAGTTTCGATTTTTAAGCTCATCTCCTTAGTCCTCAAACAACCCTTAATCGATATCGACTTAGCCCCCTCCCCACAAAAAACATTAAATTCATGCTCAGCGTGACGAGCTCAAAAATTTTAATTTGCGGAATATGAAAGCTTATAAATAGCTTATAACTTTGCGCTATTGATTTTTTTATTTGTGCAAGATGGGGGGGGGGGGCAGCTCGACAGGGGTCGAATCTACAGAAGTGGAAAAGATAAGAAAGTAATACATTTATTAGAATAAAAGTTTTAAATACAAGGGACAGAATATATATTTTATCGTAATACATTAAATATTTTATAACATCTTAAATATCGGCTCATGGAATTTGGTGCTTATAATCTTCAATATGGGGTATTTATTTTTGTGATTTACGTGCGTATGGTGCCTTATATATATTTCGATGTTGGCTTGGGGCGCTAGTGTTTTTTTTTTATTTTTTTTTTTGGATCTACATCGCGTACGTTTGCTGCTGTTATCACCTTGCCATTATTTGTTCGGCGACACTCGACTCGGTCGAACGCGACGGAGAGCGCTCTGTATCGTAGAATCGTAAATCTAAATTGTTCTCAAATACGATAAATTTTGAAATTATTTCGTACAAGTATACAAAATTGTCAGTTAATATAGAGCGCTAATCAGTTTCACATAGCTTGCATATTTTATTCCGTGAATCTTTGATTTTAACTTGTATATTTATTTCTTTTATAACATTATATAATATAAGATAGATAAAACGCTCTAATCATTTCAAAGTACAAATCTGTATTAATTCTTATCAATGAAATATACAGATGTATAAAAGTAGTTCAGGTATAACATAGCTGCGACAAATAGCACATATAAAATTAATGCGTAATTTTTTATTTTCTTTTGTTACCGTCTGTTTTGAAATGTCAAACGAATCGTAGTTCTATATGTCGTGTTATTTTGAGTTATACTTTTGTCATGATGTGACAAAGTATAATCAGGAATGCGCAGGAGTTAATGTCGAAAATGTCGTACAAAATATCGGGCGATCGTTGCGAGTGAATGTTATAAAGGGACAGTCAATGATGAATTACTGAGAAGAGAAAGCTCAGGGGGACATCAGGCTTTGGACATCGGCAGAGTAGCTTTGAGATAAATAATTCATGATTTATCTATTATTTGCGTGTAGTGTTAAGCGTGTAATGTCAAGTCGTCCAGCAAATTGGGAAGTTCGAATCTTTGTTCGTTTCTTTTCTTTTAATCTCTTTCTCTCTTCTTTATAGTCTCTTATATATTATTTTATAGATTACATATTATTAATAAGAGAAATATGTTTTTTAAACATTTTATGAACCAATTTTATTAGTTTTATTCAATATAAAAATTTTTATTAATATTGACATCTGTGTAAAGTTAGGCAAAAACAAGAAACTAATTATTTTCTCTGTCCAAATCGTACTATTTCTGCTTCAATTTTCTTTATTGTCCAAACTGCTCAAATCTGGAGACACTGCGAGTTGAAAAGATTTTCTTTTTTTTCCTTCGAACTGGTCAAACAGTTTGCTTTCGAACAAAATGTTCGAATCTTTTGTCTGATCCTATTTCCGAATAAAATTGCAGTTTGCTTGCGCAATCGGAAAAGCGGAGCGATTTTGTCAAAATACGAACTATTGACCTTCCTGAGAGTTAAATTCCGAGCAACGCGTGACAGTGCTTTATTTTCAATTTCTGATAACTTCTGTTGATTCGACTACATCGTACAAACACGATATTTATCTGTTACAGAGAGGCGCTTCTGGTATGAATCGGCTACGCGGGCGATTGAGGCGCGGATCAGTGCTGCGGCTCGTTCCAGCGTCAGCGGCACGACGCCGCCGACCGGGGTGGCACGCGGCGTCATCCTCTTCGTCGGCGACGGCATGGGCATGAGCACTCTCACGGCGGCGAGAATCCTCTCCGGTCAGCGTCGTGGTAACACGGGCGAGGAAGCGCAGCTTGCGTGGGACGACTTTCCGGCGGTGGCGTTGGCGCGGGTGAGTACTTTGTTGAATTTTCTTTACTCGCGGAAAGAGACGCCCGTAAAACCGACGCTTTACGTGTGTGAAATTTGCCGCGCGGTAAACTGTTGGGTTCGGAGCACGCAAATTGTTAGGTCGGCGCACGTACATGAGACCCAACATTTTACGCGTTTCTCACGTGCACGCCAAGCCCGCGGTAAATTGAAAATTGAAAAATGTCTTGAGCAACGAAAGCGGCGTTTTGTGAAACAAAATTCACTTACGCTAGCAAAATCTGAACTTTTAACATTTTCGTCTTGGTGTGGCAGAGTATTATTAAATACTTTACGTATAGTAAAACGCCAATTATCCGAATATTCGGACACTAATTATTCATTTTCCTTGATCAAGCGATATATCAAACACGAATAATTCTTTACGTAGAAATTTTTCATTTAAAATGATTATAAAAACGGTTATATTATCTATTTATCCGAAAAATTATGAAAAATTAAGAATTTAATTGTTATTATATTTTTGCTTAATGTTCAACTTTCATTTTTCTTGATTTGAAACTAATTTTAAAAGTAGTTTTACGCAGGTAATCAATAATAAGCGTTTACTCTTATTCAAATATAATCAGCATTTTATCGTGTAACATCCCTTATATGCAATTTCTAGACAAATTTAAGCTAGTTTCAAAAAAATTGGTTCGGATATTATTTCTCAAGATCTAATTTTCACTATACTATACTAATTTAACTATGCTATACATATGAATACCATACTATATGAAATTAAAATTCTGCTAAGGTAAGTCTTTAAGCTTTATTTTATTTTATTTTCCACGGAAAATAAATAATATGATTTTATTATCTATTTATCTGAAAAGATACGAAAGATTAAATAAGAAATAAAGTTTTAGTATCTATTTACGTGCGAGGAAAGTCAAACTATGATCTTCAATTAAAAAATTTTATCGCTATTCCGACACTTTTCTTGATTAGGTGTACAGTTCTTTTAATAGAAAGTAGTTATACGAAGCTTAACGATATCCCATATGATCTTTCTGCGGATTATATCCCTGAAGACTATCAGGCAGATGTTTTTCCCTCCGATTACGACGTAGATAATCTCGAGAAATCGCTGATGCTCGTTCATAATAAGCGGTGTGCGCGAAAGAAAAATTCAATGTGCTGAATTCACTTCGTTAAGGCAGTAGGATATTTGCATGCAAATTTAATCGACGCGTGTACACACATTTCTACATGGATTACAGATTGTGTATTCGCATTTTAATTAAGCTTACGGTCAAGCGTTCGCGTAGGTATTTTCTTTTTCCCCGCTCGTATAAACATCTCGCGCTGCGCACTTCAAATACTAAATCCGTGTTGTTCTTAGTTAAAGCGATTAACGTAAAATACGTTCGTCCTGTTTTATCAACGATTTCGTCTCAAATTATGTTCGTTTGATTTTTCCATCTACCGACGCTGCTTCGTCAATCCTTTTTCGAATCTCCCTTGATTTTTCCCGGAGAGCAAATGCGGCGGGCGGATCGAGAGAAATTTTTGCCGGAGATTCCTTTGGGAATTTGCGTGAGAGAGACCCTCTCCTATGTTGTTTGAAGATTTGCTTATTACAGTGCTTCGTCGTTGTAACGAAGTGCAGCAAGCAGTTGAAGATTTACTCTCTACCTGTTTTTTATAATTCTTGTTTATTAGTTTGATAAAGTGAGGATTGCCCGAGAGTAAACACGCATTTCTTTTGATCCCGCAAGTAGCAAAGAATATTTAATCATGAGGAAAGAGTATCATCGTGTCGTATTTCTCGAACTATTTATTACTCTGGGCACGTTTGCCATGTAAGGAAACTGATTTCAGATTTATAACTAACATAAAAAATAATTCCAGTCTTAAAAATTTTATTTTACAAGAGAAACATTATTACAGTAGAATTTAATGGTGAAAAAAATTCTCATCCAGCACAGATTATATTACATATAAGATTTCAAAAGTGTTGTTTTAAATTCATTATTTTTTTATCAGATAAGCCGATTTATTGTTTATAAGATTTGCTTATTATCCGATTGGTATAATCTCGCTCTATATTGCTCTATATATATTTGATATCTTTAATAATGAAGTGAAATCTAAGATAATTTAGTCTTAATAATTTAAATAGGTAATAAGATCTAGTTAATGGCTAATTTTATTTAAGTTTCAAAACAGAGATCAAACTTATATATTCATTTTCGCCGAGATAAAAGTTTAAAAAAATTTCCTAAGAAAAGTTTTGAATAAATAAGTCAATTTTGCAGAATGATGTTTGAAATCAAGGTGCATTTGTAGACTCGGAATTATACATAATGCTATAAGCAGTTCGCTGTAGAAACTTGCAGTTTCTACAGTTAGTTTTCTATAGTTAGGTTTCTGCAGTTGGTTTTCTATAGCTATAATCTTAATTACATTTTGCTTTAAAACTGAGATTTATTTCAGTATTTATTCATAAAGATAAAAATTAAAAAAAAAAGTAGACCAATCAAGATAAGTTTCGTTAAAAAAGGCCAATTTTGGTCTAATGTGATTGAAAGCAAGGTCTATTTCTAGACCCCTGAAACAAACGGTCTACTTTCGAAACTTGTATTTTCCACAGCTAGTTTTCTACAGTAGGTGTTTTATTAATATTAATTAAATTTTATTTTGAAATAGAGATCTGCTTTAGAATTTATTTATCAAGATAATTAGAAAAAATTTTCCTGAACAAGATTTTCATCAAAAAGAATCAATTTCGCATGGTTAATGCAGCAAATTTTAATAAAATTTTCTTTTAAAACAGTAATGTAATTTAGAACTCGTCGATGTTAAACTTCATTGTTGTAGAAATTAAGGAAGATACATTTTTCGAAAAAAGCTTTTGTTGAGGGAAATCAATTTCGTAAAATAATGCACAAAATCAAGATGCATTTCTAGACGTAGAATTATACATGGCGCTACAAGCGATCCGCTGTCGAAACTCGTTTTCTGTAAGGAGATTCAAAACATCCATCACGGATATCGGTGTTTGCACACGAATGTACGGCCGTATATGTATTATACTCCTCACGCGTTGCTTATATTCCCCGTGCATCGTTCTGCTTTCCATTTACCGTATCAAGCATGGTTCTTCCGTGCTTTCGTTCCCACGACGCATCCCGAAACCATCGAGAACATCGAGCATGAAACTTTTCGGTAAAACTCCCCGAGGATATTGCACGCTGTTTCGGCATTGATTACAGAGACTTGCTTATTATCCGATTGATATAATCTCGCTCTCTTACCGCTCGAGTTGGAATCGCGCGAGTTGAAATAGACACGAAGCTTTTGAATCCATGAGAAATTTCCTAAAACAAAGCACACGCGTGTATGACGGATTTTTATCTAAAAATTTTCTTTTGCTATCTATCTCGGTCATATCTCTCTCTCTCACTCTTTCTCTCTCTCCCTCCCTCCCTCCCTCTCTTCCTCTCTCCCTTTGTAAGCAATTTGTAAGAATATCGCAAGATGTTATATAAACTTTTGACTTTAATGCTCTTTTTCTCTTCAAGCTTACATTGTTTTGACAGCAAGCTAATTTGCGGGAATATCGATTATCTTATCGTTGCATTACCTCTCGATGGCAAAGGACTAAATGTTATTTCTGCGAATTGGAGCAAGTGATATTTGCTGTCTTGCGACGCACAGTACCTTTCCAGCTCGTAAATTTTTCTTGTTCTTTGTCAAGTGGTATTATCATTTCTCATGTATCCCTCCCACTGCGTCTTCTCTAGTGCTTTTCTCCCTAGGTGACACACCTGGGAAGCGTTGTTGGTTGGAAACAAAGTTCCCGGAATAGTCCCTTGGGAAGTTCCTTCGCAGGGTTAGAGCCGCGTTGATAGGGGACTTGTTTATTTTCGCGTGGATATAAGCGGGACAGCGTGTACAAAAGGTCTATGAACGAAAACAAAGTACAAGTCGCGTATGTAAATATGGCTTGTAGAGGGCCATATTTAGTTCGAAACGGAGAAGTTAGTTCAGAGCTCGACTGCTGCCTAAATTTGTATAACGTAATGTGGGATCTGTTTCATCATAAAAAGGATATTCTAATTTAGGTTAATGAGTTTCGCAGGCTTAATAAATTTGCTTTAATTTAAGTTAGAAGACAAGTAACTTGTTTACACTTACGAACGATTCGCTTTGATGAACCGAAGAAGCTCTCGTCGAAATTATTCGCATAAAGTCTCATTTTATTATCCTTCGCGGAACACACTTTCGTGAAATATTGCTCTTTATCCCCGATAAACTTCGTATACGTTAAACGCAAATTATATGTCGCACGCCGAAAGTGTAGCGACCGTTAAAATATTTCACGCCGTCCGGAGTTTGATTTTCTGTAGGTCCATCGCGCGTAATGCGCAATCGGCTGTTAACCTTAAGCGATCATTAAATTACATGACACCTGCACGATTGGGTATACACTTCGATGGTAGCACGCGTGCATCATACCAGCGTATAACGATTTATTGTCGAAACACGTAGCGCGTGACATTTATCAGGATAATAATTAATTGTGGGTTACGCAGGCGCGGATGACTAATGACTAAGCCGCCGCGGCGCATTAAACGGACATCGATCACTCGCGTATTTGCTATCTTTGAAATTCTTGCGATGTATAAATTGCGATTCTAATTTGCAAGCACACACATAATTAGGTTGCTACGAGTGGAATAATCACTCCAGATGTTCAGCCAAATTAAGACTCCATTCGATTTCGCTTCCTTGAGTTATACGCGAGGTTGAGTTATACGTGGGATCACAGACTCTTCACGGTAACTCATTTTAAAGCCTTTCGTGTGACATTAAGTGAGTAGAATTAATCCTCCATGACTGTGAAGTTTTTCATTGCCGCGGCCATGTATACAGGATTTATATCTTTCGCATTTTAAACAATTTTATTGCAGTTGATGGCTTTGAAATATGTTTGCGCAAAATCCAGCAATATTTGAAAATAGTTTTTTTGCT